TCCAGGATCATCAAATATTTCACCTGTATCACTGCTCAACTTAGCATTTAGTTCCATGGGAGTTTCAGCTGGTTTCACACCTAACTGTCCTGTTTCATCCAGCAGATCAAGGACATATTTTCTTTGCACAGATTTACACCTTGTTTTGATCTGGCTACTTCTATACCCAAGAAATACTTTAACTTCCCAAGGTCTTTTGTTTGAAAATGGTCTTGCAAGAAAGCCTTTAGTTTATCAATCCCCAATCTGTCACTATCAGTTATGACAATATCATCCACATAGACTACTAATAAAATCTTTTTGGCTTCTGAATCATAACTAAACACTGAGTGGTCAACTTGACATTGTTTCATTCCAAAATTCTTCATCACTTCATTAAACTTCCCAAACCATGCATGGGGAGATTGTTTCAACCCATAAATTGCCTTTTTCAGTCTACACTCTACACACCTAACCATCCTCCCCCTGAGCAACAAACTCAGGTGGTTGCTACCTCCTCCATAAGGTCACCATGAAGGAAGGCATTTTCAATAACAAGGTCCAATCATACATAACTGCCAGGGAAATTAAGACACGGACTGAGCCAATCTTTGCCACTAGAGAGGTCTCCATACAGTCCACCCCATACAATTGAGAATAACCTTTAGCAACAAGTCAGGCCTTCAAACACTCCACACTGCCATCTGGCAAGTATTTAATAGTATACACCCATTTACAACCTACAACGTGCTTACCTGGAGGAAGAGTAGTGAGCTCCCACGTATGAGTATGCTGAAAAGTAGAGAGTTCCTCCTCCATTGCTTGACGCCACCCGAGTAAAGTAAGGGCCTCTTGGACATCCTTAGGTATAGAGATAGATGACAATAGAGAAACAAACTGGTGATGTGAAGTGGAAAGGTGAGAGACTGAAACAAAATTGGAAATGGGATGTAGGGTATAACTATGTTTACCTTTCTGTAAAGCAATGGGGAGATCAAGCTCTGAAGGTTAGGGGACAGGAGTAACAACAGGATCCGTAAACAAGGTAGAAGCCGGAGGAGGTGCCGGTGTTTGTCGACGAGTATACACGTGCCAACTCGGTGGTTGTTTAGTAGGAATCTGCACTAGAGGAGGTGAAGGTTCAGCCCCAAATGGAACAACCAGAATGGGATTACAGACTGGAAGAGGGAGAGGAAGCAAAGGTGGAGATAACGATACTTTAGGTCCCGAGAAGAATGGGAAGGACTCAAAAAAAGTGACATCAGGACAGACGTAGAACTTCCGAGTAATGGGATTGTAACACATACCTTTTCTGGGTCCGAGAGTAGCCAAGAAAGATACACTTAATAGAGTGTGTATCCAACTTGTCTAACCCAGGACTCAGATTGTAAACAATGCACATACAGCCAAAGACTTGGGGTGTTAATGGAAAGGGAGACAAGGTGGAGAATAAAATAGAAAAAGGAGACCGACCATGAAGGACGGAGGACATCCGATTAATAAGGAAACAAGCAGTAAGCACAGCATCACTCCAAAATCATTTAGCCACCCCATTTTGCTGAGGGGTGGATGCACATGAAGTTTGATGAATGATTCCATGTTGTTCTAAATATTGTTGAAAGGAAGTAAAAAAGTATTCGCGACTATCATCTGAACGAAGAACTTTGATTGGAACACCAAATTGCGTATGTATTTTAGCATGGAATTTTTGAAAAATAGAAAATAGTTCACTCCTTTCTTTCATTAAATAAATCTATGTCATCCTTGAACAATCATCAATAAAAGTGACAAAATACTTGTAACCATTATAAGACTCTATTTTAATCGGACCCCAAACATTTGAATGAACTAAAGCAAAATGACTCAACATACGACTATCAACCCTGGGACTAAAGGAAACCCGATGGTCTTCCCCATACTAACACGACTCAAAGATGGAACTAGTATCTTGAGTGCCTTGAGAGATGGATGTCCCAACTGACAATGCCATTGTAGAAGAGTGAGGGAAGTCTGAAGTGCAACAGGCGATCCACCACCGTCAAGATAATACAATCCACCGGCTTCATGCCCTCCGTCAATCTTCTTCCTCGTCTTGAGATCCTGAAAACACAAAAGGAAGGGAAAAATGTAATAGAGCAATTAAGGGTCTTAGTTAATTTACTAACTGACATAAGATTGAATGGAAATTTAGGTACATATAGAACAGATGATAAAGAAAGAGAAGCCATGCCAACATTACCAACACCACAGATGGGAGAAGATGAACCATTGGCAAGGGTAACAATTTGAGATGTAGAGGTTTCAGAGAGAGAAGAGAACACACCTAGAGTCCCAATCATGTGATCAGAGGCTCCAGAGTCAATAATCCAGGGAGAGGGTTTGGATGCTAGACAAGCTATACCTGAGTGTGCAAGAGTGGCTATAGTATGTTGTGAAGTAGCCTGAAGGAACCTCTCATACTCATCGCTCGGTACACTTATCATCTCCTTCCCGGAAACAAATGTGGATGTGGTAAGGTATGAGATCTGTCTGTTGGTTATCACTATTGACATCAACACGACTAGCTAATGCATGATTAGCCCATGTAGAAGGTGGACCATGGAGATCATAACAGAAATTCACTGAATGTCCTTCCTTGCCAAAGTGGGTACACTTCCTAGTAGAGTTACTTTTTTCCTTTACCACGGCCTCCCCCTGAGTCACGACCACCACCACGGCCAAATACGGAACTACCATGACCTCCTCGAGATGCATGTCCTCCCCCTATAGTACTACATTCACCTCCTCTGGCTACCACAAATCCTGATCTATCAGACAGTGTGGTACTCTCTGTAGATCCCAAAGAAATCCTGTGAAGTCGTGCAAACACTTCCTTAAGTGTAGGAAGAGTAGAGCCCCCCAATATTTGGGTTCTAACTAGTTCATACTTTGATTCCAGCCCCATTAAAAACCTAGTAACATCCAGTTGCTCCCTCTGTTGTTGCTGAACCTTAACATCTGGATTTAGGGGATGATAGACATTGAGTTCATTCCTGAGATTTTTCATATTGGCATAGTACTCTTCTAAGGTTTTATTCCCTTGCTGCAGATCAAAATACTCCTGATAGAACTGATATACCCTCGTAGTATTATCCTACCCAGAATAAAGCTTCTTGGCATGTTCCCATATGTCCTTAGCTATGTTTAAGAACATAAAGTTGGCACTTATTTTGGGCTCCGTACTGTTCCATAACCATGTCATGATTTGAGCATCTTCCTGTTCCCATTCATCAAACCCTGGAGAGTCAGTTGATGGTTTATCTTGCTTCACGTGTTTCACTTTTCTCTTTGCCTTGAGAAAAACTTCCACTGACTTGGCCCATGGCACATAATTCTCACCATTAAGTTTAATTGAAGTCATTTGCACACCCAAATAGTCGGAGGGAATCATTACACCAGGTTTCTGATCACTACAACCATCTCCAGTTACTGTCATGATGTCCTCCCAATGCTACTTCTAATGCTGAATCCCCAGTCACCAACCGAGTACTACTGTCAGGAGCTTGATGTTTCAGACACGACAGCAGTCTCCAAACAAAGATAATAGGTTCACAACCAGTTACAATCAATCACCAATATGTAAATTACCATTCAGATTAAGAGCTTGATGTTTCAGACAGGTTCAGCTATCAGTTCAGATTAAAAAAAAGGTAAACTAGCATTCAGACAGCAACAAGTCAGAAAATTGATGTAGACAATTCGGTCACTCCTTCCAGCACAAAAACACAGACTTTTGTTCTTGTGCACACCACTACTGATTACACATAACCATAAATCACCATGGCAGTAACTCAACAACTCAACTAACCACACACAAACCCTCTTGAAACTGCTCAATAGAGGGTAAACATCACAACCACCACCACACAACCAAAGCTGTCGCACATGGTGACAGCAATATGGAACTGATAGCCTAGGACTGCCGCACCTTCCTAACCACTTGAAACAAGGACTACGGCAGTCCTAAAAAAAACTTGCTGCAATAACTAGATTGAGTAGCTCAGATTTTGCAGCCTAGAGAAGAGGAACCCAGAAGAAGGAGAAATCACAATATGAACCTTGGTGCCACAGCCTTCTTCTCCTTTGTTTAGCACTCTGATACCATGTTATTTCAGTAGCTTCAGTAGTTCGAACCAGAAGATAGTGAAGGAGCAAGAGAAGAAGAAGAAGACAAACTTGGTAGCCTAAACCCTACCAGTCAACCATAAGATGGATTAGGGGTTCTAATTAGAGTACAATGACTAAACTGCCCCCACTTAAGTATGGGACAGGAAGTCTACAAGAGTAATATTAGAACTGCCACATAAGCACATAACTTAAACTGAATGAAAAGACTAATCTACCCTTATTCGGCTAACTCTAACAATGTTGAAATAGAGAGTTGCTAACTGTCCTCCCAAAATACAAGCAACCCTTTATATTTTATAAAGTAATTATACTTCCACACATAAATTTTTAATACATTATTGTCCCCTTCAAAGAAAAATGATCACCTAACGTCAGCCAAAAAGAGGGTGAAATCAATACTAAATTTATAAAGAATGGAGATGATTGCTCTTCAGAAACTAGATTATATGAGGTCTTTGACTTCATTTCCAGTTCCCAGCTGACTCAGAAAAGAATGACATAGATATGAACAAGAAAAGTAACAGATCTTCCTTTCTATCATTTCCCTTCCTTCTCAATAATTTCTTATAAGTTGTATCTTTTTCTTTTTTTTGGATAACTGAAGACAGTTGCTTCTTTATCACTTTATCATAGTAAGAAAAAGAAACAGAACTCAGGCAAAAATAAAGAGAAAAGGAATCCTAGCCACAGATATACAAAAAAGAAACCATGAAGTTGAAGCAGAAAAACATTCTTTTGGTATATAGATACAATTTTGCTCGAAGTCCAAAAGCATAAAGAAGTTCATTGACAAAGAACATGAACCATAGCAAACCAAAAAGAAGGTAATTTAATAAGGGTCAGAAACTACTGACATAATAGCATATTGGTGTCCCATCCAGTTGAGATCTTCTTGAGGAACAACAACAACAGCAACCTCCCATGTCTTTCAATTTTCTCTGCTATCCAGTGAAAGCTTTGGTCCTTTGTGCATTTTTCTCCTGTCCTTCAGCATAGCAGCACAAACAAATGCTACCAAATGAAAAGATAAGTGAAACAATTATTTGAAGCCATGACTGTCACAAAGATTCTCAAATAACAAATGCAGCCTTATTTCTAGGAATAGGAACTACTAACTTAGAAAATCATCATTTCTAGAAGCAAGAACGTAATGTATCATCAAATTTAAAAGCATAGTTTTGATAAGCAAGAAAGCTGGACCAATTTTGCTCTTTCAAATTAAAAGAAGCAGAAAATCATCATTTCTTGGACTTTTGGCATCCTAACAACACTTCTAATATGAAAAAATATCTCCAATGGTAAGAATTAGGGGTGTCAATAGTTGAGCCAGGTTTAGGTCAAGGTTTATCCAGACAGAGATCCTATCATATCCATTGGTCAAGGGTCTCGCCAGGCTCAATATGCACTAATATCCTTGTTAGCTGCTAGTTTAGTAAACTCAAGGAGGACCTGATTTCTATTGGGTATCAATGTGTTGACTGAAGTATGATCCTGTCCAAGATATTGGGCAAATATCCCAACTAATAAGCATTGTTGTGTCACATGACAATGTATGCAAGGTACCACACCCTTGCAAGAAAAACACATAATATATCATGAAACATTTTCAAGGTCATGAACTTGCCTGAACACAGTTTTTTGCCATTTAGACTGCTCAAGGACATTGAGGTAACCATATCAACATTGCATACACAAATTATACACCACGAATAACAGCATGAATTGTGGAGTCCTAAGGATATACATCAGCTAGTGAGAGTTTGCAGCCTTCTTTTATCTCTAGTAATGCATTATGATAAAACATGGCATAATTTATTTGCACAATTGCACAACCAATCTACCACATTGCTTGACATAACTATATCTGAACTGAATGGCATAGTTTTTTCTTAAATAGCAATGCACATAATTACATAGAAGATCAACTTAAACATGATTACATGCAAGATTCACTGATGAAAATATGGTGAAATGGAGCTATGGTTAGCTTCCACACCCCTCCAGCAAGTGGTATATCCAGAAAAAAAAGGCAAGTGAAAGAGATCGGTCAGAATCAATTCTCAGGGAGCTCTACACTTTGAATCTTGAATCTAATGATACAGAGAAGAGCAGCTAATCAAAATTCTACTTATATGGTTCACACACAATTTCTATATTGTGGAGGACGCAAAACCATGCCAAAACAAGGAAGAAAAAGTGAACTCAAGATAAGTTAATGCTAGTAAACAAAGTACTAATTTCGAGATTTGGTATTTAAAGAGAAAGAAAACTTCACCCTACCATCTAGGCATCTACATCATTTGGGGTGGTTTAAATTCAATAGAAAAAATTTATGGACTGTAACTCAGCTTCTAAATTTTCAATAGCTTCAGAATTTCAACATAACTTGGAATTTGGGTTTTGTACAACTGGAGAGAGAGAGAGAGAGAGAGAGACTAACAAATCATATCTTCTGCCATAGTACTTCACAGGTTATTATATTATGTTCATCAGCATTGCCTATCTTCAGAAAATACATTTTCTTGTGTAGAATCTTAATCAAGTGAGATAATCAAACCTTTTTCCCCATAGCCCATTACACCTAGAGCCATAAAAGTGTCATAAGCATGGTATTCACAAGAGATTCAATGTCATCCATGGTTCGTAGGTAGAAGTATTCTCAATCCCAACACATACAACCAGAGTACTAGTAGAAGCATTTTCTCCTTTAAGGCTTTTTTAACCAGTGCCAAACCCATAACTTGCTACTTTTTCAGCATTATCACCTGTTACCAAATTTCTGCTTAAAGTATCTCCTTCACCCCCAAGGAAGGCCAATTAATTGCTCATGGACTCTTAACCCTGTAAGTCTGGTCCACCACTCTCCACTTGGAATTTGCAGTGATTTGGTGCATACAACTGAGAATTCAGATTACTGATTCAAACCACTGGTTAAGTCTAAAAATCACAATAATTAACGAGAAAAAAAAATAAAAACATAGATAGCAGGTGCTTTTTTTTTATTTCCTTGAACATTCAGTCCACCACTAGCATCTTGAAATCATTTGAAACGTTCTGCCTCCCTCAACCGAAATTGCAGTGAACACTATAACTGTTTTATCTTTAAACTAAAAAGTTCAACTTCACTTAACTAATATATTGACCATAACACAAGACAACGCAAAACATTCAATAACAAAACACAAGCTAAAAAAATCCAAAACCAGCCATCTATTTTCTAAAATTAAGGGGGTATTGGCCGATACATATGATCTTGTTTTTTAAACAAAACAACGGCTATATCAGAACAACCATATCATACATATTGGCGAACACCTCCTAGAAGAAGATTTTTCTGATTCCCAAATTAAAGGACAAAGATAATGGTATATGCACTTGAAAAGGATCACAAATGAAAACAACAAAATGCTAATAGAACTAGACGAAGACACAGACGTCAAATTTTGTTACCCTAACAAACATCAGAAGCGCATGAATCACAACAGTAAGCAAACCAAAGCACACTTGAAAATCATCAACAACCTTGTCAAATCCAATCCAGTCCAAACTGAATAGACGAATATATCCATTGAATTGTAGAAGAAGAACGAAAAGTAAAGCCACTAGACTTCGGGACTTCCGAGTGCCAACTATTCCAGGTAGAAATTACCAAAGAACATAAACCCTAACTAATGAAGAAAATATACATAAGAAAAGAAAAGCAGACAATACAGAAACAGTGGTTCATCCATGTAAGTGAACAAGCAAACAATCAATCAAGCTGCAGGGTTTTATCAGTGAATAGATGTTGAGCATAAGACAATCATTACCTCTCTGTGCAAAAGAGATCGAATTCGAGAATTTCCATTAAATTTTCATAAATTCAAGAGGATCACCCTGCTTCTACTAATTGTTTTCTCAGCAAAAGAGTTCAGTTTTCTCTCTTCTTCATCCTCTACTATCTTTCGAGGAATGCTTCACTCAACAGCAGGGGATTCGCACTCAGAGATGTGATGGAGTGCTGCAATATGCATTGAAGAATCTGTCTATCTCATGATGGACCGTTGGATTGGAATTTTTACACATGGATTGAAGATTACTGTGGGTTTTACTTCGAGTATAGTAAATCCATGGCTCCACGGACAAAATCCGTTTTGTTGGAATCATTCCATCCGAGATTAGAAGTTCCAATCTAACGGCTACGCCAGCTTCTATTCGCCATCTAGATCTAGAATCAAAGTTCTCTTCGTAATCTCGTAGATAGGAGTAAAGTAAGGGCAAAAGTTAGAAGAATCTCCATGCAACGCAGGACGAATGGACGATACTGAACAATGGTAGTATACTATCTCCAGTCAGACGGATTGATCAAAATCAATTCACATGGCAAGGTGGGGCCATGTATGGCAATGGCCCCACACAAAGAGCTCAAGGTGGGGCCACGGCAATAGATCAAAGGTTTTGATTTAGTTGTTTCAGGGCAGTGCTACGACAGCAAATGTAGTTTGATCTTTGAATCCAGTGTCTTGAACACCGCGAAATCAATTTGAATAATGTGGGAGGCAGTGTAAAATCAAAACCAATAATCCAATGTTGTCAGGCTTCGGACGAACGGAACTCAGAAATCAGAATGCTCGGTACGTCACCATTTTGCCTGTTACCCAACCTGCTCGATCGTTCAGCCAATAAGAATAGTCAAATAATCGAGAACCGTAAAGCTTTCCGGGTCATCATTTCACCGGTCCAACCTTTTCATCTGAATTGATAACAGTCACATGGCACTGACCCGGGCATGGGCATGTGGTCACTGGTCAGTGCTGTCGTCAGCATGTAATGTAAGAGCAGGCCGGTAATCCAGTTGGATTCAACATCCTGAATCTGATACGGTTATCAGAAAATCTGGATTCGGTTTGAAATCTTTTTTGAATTGGGTTTATATATTTTGGGTTTCGGATGTGATGCGGGTTCAAAGAAAGAAAGAAAGAAAAGGTTAAAAAAAGAATAAATCAATTTTTAACTTAAAAATATAGAATAGAATAGATTATTGAGATAAATATAAAATATAGAATTTATTAATATATTTAATTGGACTTGGATCTTGATCAAATCGGATCGGTCAAATGGATAATCGGAATGCAGAAAAATAATCGAATCAGATGTTGGGCTTTGTAAAAGTGATTATTCACCATTATTTATTTATTTATTTATTATTTTTTTATAATAAACGTAACGGGTTACACAAGACGGGAGTAGCACGTCCTCACAAATCACTACAATAAATAAATGCAAAAGACCAAGGCAGCTTACAAAGGTTCAGCGAAACACAACTATCACACTCGGCAACTGGGCTTCATGAGTAGGGGTGGCAATTTTCCCCGTCCCCGATGGGTACTCGAGCTTCCCGACCCTGTGGGGTCGAGTGTGGGGGGTAGTTTGGTGGGGTCGAGGTCGGGGATGGGGAGATCCCTAAATCCTCGATTGGGTTCTAGGATGGGGATGGGGAATGCAATCCCCACCCTGAGCCGGCCCCAATTAATATATATATATATAATATTATATATTATATAGTTATAATAATTATTTATTCATTTTTTAAAAGATTAAAACTTAAAAAATAGTAAAACACTAAAACCCTCGACAGTAAAACACAAAACACTTCAACTTCGAGTCTTTGATAGAGAGAAGAGAGAACTCTACCTCTGAACTCTAGCTTCGTGCCTTCGTCTTCGTTGTCGATTCGTCGACTGTCGTCGATGTCGCCACTCGTCCGTCGGACATCGGACAAAGGACAGAGATACTAGAGTGACAGAGAAGAGATACTCAAAGAAGAGTTTCAGTTCTTTAATCTTCCTTCAACCTTCGTCTATCATCACTGACCGTCGTCGCCGTCGCCCATCGGACTCTCTCTCTCTCTCTCGTCGCCAACCTCATTTCTCGCAATGATCTCTCTCTCTCTCTCTCTCTCTCTCTCTCTCTGTCTTAGACTCTCATTCTTTCTCTCAATTTTGATTAATTTCCATTATATTGTAGAATCTAGAAAATAAATTCTAATATAGTTCAGACTTCAGATAGAATGCTTGGAATGTAGTATTCAAATCAGTATGAGCCGAACCTAAATGAAACCCAAATGAAATGCTCAAATGCAATATGAGCCAAACCCTGAAATGCAGTATGAGGTTATGAGCCGAACCCAAACGAAATGAAACCCAAACGAATAATCACCCTACAGATCTCCCTAAAATGCAGTATGAGAGTCGAACCCAGAAATGCAATATGGGTCAAACTCAAATCACCCTTTAGAGTTCAGATCTCCCTATCCCGTTGTTACCAACTTACCATATGTTATTTTATCAAAATATTAGTTTTATTGGTTATTTCTATAATTTGAATAATCACTTAAATGAAAAGTTGTTTATTATTGTTTATTATTTTATCAAAATATTAGTTTTATTGTTTATTAGTGCTATGCTGTTACCAACTTACCATTCTAATTCTAGTTTTATCATATTCTGAAAATTTTTAATTCACATTGGGTTTGTGTTTTTGCATTTGATATTTTGATATAAGTTGGTAGTGATATTCATTAATCGAAGGTCAACATATTCAGATATACTTATTATTTAGGGTAAATCACAAAGACCCCCCCGGTACTATGGGGTCTATGACAAAGTCCCCCCTGTACTTTGTTTTGCGACAAAGACCCCCTTGTACTATGACCGTGAGACAAAGACCCCCTTCTATTAGTTTTCTGTTGAAATCAGCTGTTGCAATATTTTTAATCCCCATACTACCCTTGTAAGAAAAACACTGTTCATCTTCCCCGACCTCACAATACAGGAACAGCAGCGGCGGTAATCCCTTCTACGTTAGATTCCTTCACATTTCTCTCTATCTCCCTCTCTCTCTCTCCCCCCGATCTCTCTTCTTCCTCTTCCCCTTTCTCTCCTCCCCTTTCTTCAGACTCTCCTTGGTCTTCTCTCTCCATCGCCTGAGCTAAGTTGCTAGTTCTACAATCCCGCCATGAGAAAAGTCCGAAAAGGAAGCTACTCTTTAATTTTCTTTGTTTTTGGGTTTTCATGTTAATGTTTTGGGTCATGTGGGTTTTGAAACTGGCAACACGACAGTTTTCAATTAATGGGTTTTATCAAGTTTCAATTGAATTAACTCTATTCTTTCCAAATTTTACTAATTATTTTGCAGGAATATGCACAAAGTGAGTTAATTTCTTTTTTTGTTCCTCTATTTTTCCTTTTATAACCATGCCTACTTGTGATTCGTGATCTTGGTCTTGTGTTTACTGCAACTTAGATGGATTTCATACTCCAGAACTAGGTTCCCATTCCTAGATAACTAGAGTGTTGTACAATGTTTTTGTTGGGTGATCCCACAATTGGGACCAGTTTGGATTTGTCAAAGAGAAAGAATAAACCAACCATGGAATGATGGAATCTATTGATAGTTTTTTTTTTCTTAGCGTTTACTGATTGAAATTTGGTTTTGACAGTTCTCATTCGCAATTGGGATAGGAAGCAGATGATCGTGAGGTTATCATTAAGGAGATCGAAGATCAGGTGACGGGGAGAGGTTTGAATTTGATTATAAGGGGATGGGCCCCACAAGTCCCAATACTGAACCATGGAGCCATGGGCGGGTGGATAGAGAAGACCAAGGATTGCAAAACTAGTAGCTTAGCTCAGGTGGTGGAGAGAGAAGACCAAGGAGAGTCTAAAGAAAGGGGAGGAGAGAAAGGGGAAGAGGAAGAAGAGAGATCAGGGGGAGAGAGAGAGAGAAATGTAAAGGAATCTGAGGTAAAAGGGATTATCGCTGATGTTGTTCCTGTACCATGAAGTTGGTGAAGATGAATAGTGTTTTCTTACAAGGGTAGTATGGGGATTAAAAAATATTGCAACGACGGATTTCAACGGAAAGCTAATGGAAGGGGGTCTTTGTCGCAAAACAAAGTACAGGGGGTCTTTGTCATAGACCCCATAGTACAGGGGGGTCTCTATAAGTTACCCTATTATTTAATTCATGTTTGGTGTTATTTTTTTATTTTTAGATTTATAATTGATGGGATTTTTTGCTTTTTAATTTTTTTCTCTAGATTTAAAATATGGAAACTCAAGCTGAAAGTTATAAATCGGGGACACCTATTGGTAGCAATCAATCTCCAATTGGGGTTGAACTTGAACACTCTCAAACTCCAACTTTATCAACTCCAATTGATCCTCCAAGAGAGTCACCCGCTGAATCTCCTGTTCAAAATTCTAATGAAATTTTGGTTGATGATTCAGAGTCACCTAATCAAGCCCCCGATGCTAATGTTGGTGTAAAAAGGAAATTAACATTTGTTGTTTGGGATCATTTCAAAAAGATAAAAATAAATGGAGAGGATAAGGTGGAGTGTAATTATTGTCATAAAAAGATTGGAAGCAATAGTAAAAATGGGACAACTCATTTGCATGACCATTATAAGACTTGTCCAAGAAGGTGTTATGAAGATATAAGGCAACATGTTCTAGTAAAAGGACAGAGAAAGGCTGATGGGAAAGTTTGTATTAATAATTATCATTTTGATCAAGATACTTCAAGGAAAGACCTAGCCACCATGATAATTTTACATGAATACCCACTTTCAATGGTTGAACATTGTGGATTTAGGAAATACATAACTGTTCTTCAACCTCTGTTTAAGGTTTCTTCTTGGAATACTATCAAAAGTGACATCTTCAAGATATATGACTATGAGAAATAAAAAACATTGCACTTTTTGGAGAAGAATCCTAGTAGGGTTGCAATAACTACTGATATATGGACAGGTAGCAACCAAAAGAAATGCTTTATGGCTATCACGGTGCATTTTATTGATGATAGTTGGGAGATGCAAAGTTGGATTATGAGGTATTTAGTTTTCAATATGTTACTTTAAAATTTAATTTTCTTAGTACATTATCAAAGTTTTTTTGTATTATTAGTAATTTGATTTTTAAACAAATATTTGAGACTTGTTTTTATTAGTAAATTAATGTTGCATTTTAGGTTTGTTTATATGCATTGTCCACACATTTCGGAAACACTTTCTAATGTTTTAGTGGATTGCATGATGGATTGGAATATTGATAGGAAGTTGTCGACAATGACAATTAATAATTGCTCTACTGATGATTCCCTCATTGAGATTATCTTGAGTAAGCTTAAAACTAGTGCACCTATGTTAGATGGAAAATTATTTCACATGCGTTGTTGTGCTCATATTCTCAACTTGATTGTCCAAGATGATTTGAGGATCATTGGAGAAGCATAGAAAGGGTTAGAAATAGCGTGGCTTTTTGGGTAGCATCACCCAAAAGAGAGCAAGCTTTTAAAGAAGTAGCACGTTAGTTGCAAATATCAAGTTCAAAAAAATTGGTTATTGATTGTAAGACCTGATGGAACTTGATATACTAGATGCTTAGTGTTGCTTTAATTTATAAAGATGTGTTTCATCAGTTGAAACAATGAGAGCCTTTGTATAAATGTTTGCCAACTAATAAGGATTGGGGTTTAACTAAAGAGATTTGTGAGAGGTTGCAAGTATTTTATAATGTGACTGAAATATTTTTTAGGACTAAATATCCAATGAAAAGCAAGTTCTTTCCATTGATTTGTGAGATTAAACTTTCATTATCTTAATAGTTCTCATGTTCTAATGAGATTATTAGAACAATGGCATCAAGTATGTTGGCTAAATTTGACAAGTATTGGTGCATCATTCATGGAGTAATGGTTGTAGTATGTGTTTTGGATCCAAGGTTCAAGTTGAAGCTATTAGAGTATTTCTTTTCTAAACTTTATGGATGTTTTGCTTTAGATGAAATTATGATGATTCATCAACTTTATTATGATTTACTCCATGAGTATCAATCAAGATCTAACTCTAGCAAGAATACTCATCAATGGAAGGGAATTTCTTCATCTTCATCTCATTGTCCAACAATGAATGATTCTATAGATTCCAATTTTCTCTGTGAGCATGATTCATTTATTGATGATTCTGATGATATGATGATGAAATCTAAGTTGGATCATTATTTAGAGGAGAAGTCTTGCCAAGAGATCCAGATTTTGATATATTGGCTTAGTGGAAGTCCAATGGAATCAAGTATCCAACATTGCAAAAGATTGCTAAGGACATTTTAGCTATTCCCATTTCAACTGTGGCTTCTGAGTTTGCTTTCAGTACTGGTGGTAGATCAGTGAGTCCTCATCATAGTAGACTTCATGTTGAAACTTTGGAAGCATTAATGTGTGCCCAAAATTGTTTATTGAAGCAAGTACAAGGTATTGGAATTAATATTATAAACTATTAGTTTTCTTTTATGTATATCTAATTTGATACCTTTAGTTTTATTTTATTGTCTTTTCTTTTTAGGTGTTCATTCGAAAGTTATAGATGCATATTACCACACAATTGAATATGATTCTGATGTTGATGAGGTAATAAATATGCTTTTTAATTTGATTATTGATGTTCATGAATTTTGTGATTCTTATTTATATTTGTATCGATAATTACTTTAATTTTTGCAGGAAAGTGTTGTTGTAGGTTGGTCAGTTGGTCTTTTTTTTTCCTATTTTTTTCATGGTTGGTGTTTCAGATTTCAGAAACCAAACTATTCTTCAGCATTCTCTTTGTTTCTCTTACTTCGTAAGAGAAAATTTTAGTGACTATTTATGGTGGTTTGGATGGAGTTTTGCAACTCAAACAGGTTGGAGTTTTACAAAATGTGGGAACATACACATAGCTCGTTGGGTTTTTGATAAGATGGCACCACCCTTAAGCATCCCACGTCCTCTCCTTGTATTCTACTCCTTGCTTCTCAGCTTCCTTTAAGTTTAGTTCTTTTCTTCTTTGTTTTCCTTTTTCTTTTGGTAATATTCTATTTCTTGTTGAAAAATTAAGATGAATGCTTCATTAATAAAGCATCATAGAGAGTTCAAAACATCTCCCAGCTAGAGACTTTTCTTGGGTCCATCTGGGAATGTGTGTTGGATTTGATCACTTAATGTTAACCCAAGATAAGCCCCCTTGAAGTGCATTCATGTGATGTGTGTTCTTGCTGGCTACTTGATAGAATTTATAGATTTTGGATTCTATTTTTCTTTTTGGCATCTGTTTATTTGAAATTATGCTACAATGACTAGTTTGTTTGATCAAGAAGATCAGGCTCAGTTGCAGAAGGTGGTCTGCAAAGCCTAGCAATTTGTAGAGAGCAATTTCAGATGTGCCCATCTCCTTTTTAGCTATAGCTCTGCTACTCAAACTTGTTCTTGGGCATGAACCATCCTTTATCAAAACAATCTTTCACTTCTACAATTAGTATGGACGGCCATCATTACTCCGTTTGGGAAAGTCTGGCCACTCAGGATGATTCCTCCATATTCTCTTCCAAGAGGAAGTGGGATAAGCCAAAGAGTGCAGAAGTGGGCACAAGATGCGTCACAAACCAAGGATTTGTCACTGCTAAAAGCGAAGGTATTATTCCTCATATACTTGCCTTCCTCCTGTTTTTGACTTGTATGCATGTGTAAGAACGATTAATGTTGCTAAACACATTTCTAGTAGTGATTTTCTTCTTGAATTGCTTAATTTCCTATGCTACCATTTAATTTCTTCATAGAGTTTTCCTTGAAGCTCTCTGTTTGAGACTTCTATGAGTCGTCTTAGGAAATGCCAATTAATTGTAGTTTGTTATTCTCTGGTTCATGCAACTGTTTTGATTACTATAATTTGTGGCTTTTCATTTTTCGCCTATTGTAATGATGATTTTTCCTATTCCTATTATTTCACTACTTTATCTTTTTTCCTTGGTAGTAGGAAGTTGAGGATAAAGAAAGCAATCAAAGTTCCTATTGTAAGTAGCAAGTTAGCAAATATACCTCAAGATGATTTCTCATGGAGAAAATATGGACAAAAGCCCATTAAAGGGTCTCCATATCCAAGGTATGTCAGTATTTCTCATCAATCCTCCCTTAATTGAATTCTTCTATGACAAAAGGGATTGTTGGGTGTAGCATTTTGTTTCCATTTCGTAAACATATACCTTAGTTTCCATCAACAAAAGGAGTTTACATGTCATCCAGGACAAGGAGAGATGATCCTCTCTGCTCTTATATGCTTCCTATCTTTTAGATTTTTAGATATAAAGTTGGGTATCTTCAATTGTTATATATTATGTGCCATCCACCAAATGGATGCATGGAAGATTTGATCATGGAATATATAAGTTTAGTTGACAAAGAGACTATTAATAATTTAATATTTCTACTTCTTATATATATAATGATAAGATTCCAGAGTGAGGCCTACAAGCTAATAACAATATTGAAGTTCCTTTCATGGCTAATGGACCAGCTTGTAGTCGTGTCAGAATGGTGGATGAGATGAGGCTTGGAAGCTCTTTCACAGTATGATCCAAGATGTAAACATACATATCTTGTCGGGGATTTGGGTCTTTGATGGGGAATTCATCCCCATCGGGGTCGGCGATGGAGAGGGGATTCCTTTCCCCACCAGGGATCAGGGACGGGGATGGGGGGTGATTTGGGGGTCGGGGTCGGGGATGGGGAATGTAATCCCCACCCCAAACCTGCCCTGTTTCCATTTCTATTCATGAGCATGGTGAGCTAGCCAATTCGTAGCCTGATTTGCTTCACGAAAAAAATGCTTGTAGATGATCCCCTTCCCACACCTCTTCATGAGCTCTTAGCGGTCTTGAATGACACTCCTCAGGTTCCACATGCACGGACTAGACTTGTTAAGACAAGATATCACTATTTTGGAATCACCCCCAATTATGAAAGGAAAATTTTTGAAATTTAAGGCCAAATTATGGGCTTCCCAAGCAGCCCAAGCTTCCACCCTATTAATGGAGACAAAACCCAATTTATAAGCTTTAATATCCAAAACTGCACCCAAGTGACTCCTAGCAAGAGTTGTAATGGTGCACATACCATCCTCTACCTGAGAAGCATCAAAGTTAATTTTAATCACACCCAAATCAGGGGGATCCCACCTTATATACCTACAATCTTTGGTTAAACTTTCACCCTTATATTTATTTGTACACTCTTGAAATTCCATAAGCGAGCCAAGGACATTATCAATGACCTTATATTGAGGAATCAAAAGATTCTTAAAAACCCTCAAATTTCTACTCTTCCACAAATGCCATAACAAGAATACACATTTTTCCTTTTGCCATTCCTCCTCGAGCATCAAACTCTTTAAAAAGTCCAACCACCAGTCTTTTATGGACATGTCTTGATCTTCAAGCCCTTGAATAGTTAGGAGGATAATCCCCCAACAATTCCTTGCAACAGAACATTTTTTAAAAATATGATCCACATCCTCATCTTCACAACAAACATCACATCCACCATCGATATTGAAACCCTTGGTCTAAGAAGAGACTTAGAGGGAAGTCGATTGTTCAACAATAGGAACATAAACACTTGAAGTTTTGGCGGGCACTTTAGCTTCCAAATGTTCTTATTCCAATTAAAACTATTTATTGGATTAAAAATAATACCACATTTCAATCTATAGGTAGAATTTGATGAAAATTTGCCATTAGCATTAAACCACCACACAATTCATCCTTTTTTGACTCTGATGGGATGAAAATAGTTCTGATCTTCAGCCAAATATCATATGGAAAATTATTGCATTTTTTCTCTCTATTCCAAACTTTCCTATTTTGATCAATCACATCACTAAGAGTCCCTCATTAACAATGTTTCCTTGAGGAACCAAATCAACAATAGCTTTATATCCAATCCATCTATCTCTCCAAAAATTTACTAATTTACCATTACCAATTTCCCAACCCAAACCCTTCATAAGAAGTTCTCTAGCCCATAGGGACCCTCTCCAAGCCCACAAGATACCTTTCTTTGGAATTTGACAACATCTCATAACAAATTGAGGAATCATATTGACAATAGAGCTAAGAAGAGTGATTCTTCTATCCATAGAAAGAGAATTCTTTTTTCAATTAGCTAACTTACTAACAATTTTCTCACAGAGATCATGAAAAGTGTTTTTTTTTGTGACCCTGCCCTTATAATGGGGGCTCCTAAATGGGATTTATATTTTGCTTCAAATGGAATTTTTATAATTTTAGCTAAAAGTTTCCTGAATCTCATGGGCATGTTTTCAGAGAAAATAACTGAAGATTTTGCAAAATAATTGTTTTTAGATATTTACTTTTAATTATTTTGACCCACAAATTATTTTCATTAGTAAGAATTTTCCAACCTGCAAGGTTGGCTTCATTAACCCAAACAAGGTTCTTAAGGCCTAAACCACCCTTATCTTTAGGAGTACAAACTCTTTCCCACTTCATTAGGTGAATTGGCTTCTTGCCTTCAGAGCTAGACTAGAGAAAACCCCTTTGAATTCTATCAATCTCAATATATTTTTTGGGATTTGAAAAGATCTCATAACAAATTGAGGAATCATATTGATAATAGGGTTAATAAGAGTGATTCTTCTATCTATAGAAAGAAAATTCTTTTTTTAATTAGCCAACTTACTAACAATTTTCTCATGAAGGTCGTGGAAAGTGTTTTTTGTGACCCTACCCTTATAATGGGGGCTCCTAAATAGGATTTATATTTTGCTTCAAATAGAATTTTCATAATTTTAGCTAAAAGTTTCTTGAATCTCATGGGCATGTTTTTAGGGAAAATAACTGAAGATTTTGCAAAATTAGGGCTTTGACCAAAAGCCTTAGCAAAGTCCTTAAGGATTCCTTTGACTTTAAGACCCACAGGGATAGTAGCTTCAGCAAAAATAAGGCAATCATTAGCAAATTGCAGAATGGAAATCTTAGGAGCACCTCTAGCAACTTTATAGCCAATAGGGTTTCCCAGCTTCAACACAAAGAACAAAGATGTAAGGAAAAAGAGGGCCCCCCTGTCTTATTCCTCTAGTGGGGTGGATTTCTCTTGTGGGCTTCCCATTAATTAAAATTTGGTAAGATACTATTTTGATACATTCCATAACCCAATTTACCCATTTCTCATGGAAACCAAATTTCCTTAAGACTTTCTCAATAAAATTTCATTCCAATCTGTCATAAGCTTTCTCCATGTCAATCTTGTAGGTCATCACCCCAACTTTACCCTTCTTCTTTCTCATAGAATGCATCATCTCATGATCAATAAGAATGTTATCATTGATTTGTCTGTTAAGAACAAATGAACTCTGATAAGGGGAAATGATTTCATCCAACAGAGGTTTGATTCTATTAACTAGAATTTTGGAAATAGTTTTATAAATAACATTACATAGACTTATAGGTCTAAAAAAAATCCACTGATTTTGCATTTTTCTTCTTAGGAATAAGTGAAATGAAGGTTTTGTTGAGAATCCTACATAGCTTTCCCGAACGAAAGAAAGCTTTCACCACTTTGCACATAGACTTCTTAACAATAGTCCAATATTTTTTAAAAAATAAAACATTGAGACCATCACATCTCGAAGCTTTAAGATCTTTCGTAGAGTTGAGGGCATAGAGAATCTCCTCATCAGTAACATCCCTCCCAATGTCATTGTTTTGATCATCGCTTATACAAAGAGTGATTCCACTAATGACTTTTTCAATATTACAAGTCCCCTCGGCCCAGAATCTTTTATCAAATTGCT